GGGTGGCTAATGTGTTTGGACCAGGGCTGGCAAATTTAATTTTCAATGAAAGATCTCACGCAATATTTACAGAGATACGTCTCTATCATTGGATGAGAAAATGAGGATAGAAATTTTCTTCAAAATCTCATCGAATTTGCTGTTATGACATAACGTGACAGTGTTGTGATCATCGTAATTACTAGCTCATTTAATGCTATTAAAGTTACTTGTACCGAGAATATCTTAATAATATATTCATTCTACCGATTAAATGCGGTTGTTTGCTTAAATTAAATCAGTTAGAAATGTTGATGTCAAACCCGCAAAAGAATTAATCTCATGAGTGCTTGATCATGGAAAAATTACAAGAAAGCTAATGATAGGTAGTTTCGTCTCGTGATAGTGAGAGGACCCGTTTTCTCATCGTCACATGACGACCGTGATATTTACCAGCTCTGGTGTTGGCCTCTGGGGATAGCATGTGCGTTTCCTCTTCCTGAAGCACCTTGACTTCTCCCTCTTTTCTTTGTCGTTGCCATCCAACGATGTACTCTGAGCCACCACACACGCGTTCATACCGCTACCACTCTGTTCTTCATCCTGTAGTTGTTGTAGTTGTTGTTGTTGATCTATGTCTTGTTTTTGTCCTTCCTTCGGTTAATCCTTTTCTTGTTTCTGGGCTATCTGCTTGGGGCAGTAATTCATCTAATGCCCCTTCATCTTGCATTAAAACACATGTTTTTGATTCCCTCCTAAAATATGGTTCCCTTTCCTGGAGGAAATGGAGTGATGAGGGAATGCCCGTATGCAAGTCCATATACAGATCGCATACACCAGTGTGCATATCATCGCTCAGCAGGGAATTTGTCCCAAACGAGACGCTTTGGGGGCTCCGGAGGCTGATAGGATCAGGTTCAACTTGTTGAGGAACCTCCCAGACGTCGCTAAGAGGCGCATGTCGAACTTGTGTGGTCAGTTCCTGGAGCTCAATATTGTTCCGGATGATTGGAGGCGGGTTAGAGTTATAGCCATTAAAAAGCCTGGCAAACCCGCGTCAGATTACAACTCGTACTGACCCATAGCGATGTTGTCGTGCATTTGAAAATTGTTGGACAAAATGATCCTTTTTCGCTTGGAAAAAATTGAGGGTTGAGCCGAACCACCTAATTTCAGATACTCAGTTTGGTTTCCGTATGGGGTAAGGGAACAAACGACTGTCTCGCGTTGCTTTTTTACAGAAATTCGGTTGGCTTTTGCTAAAAAAGAGCAAATGGCTTCTGTTTTCTTGGATATCAAGGGAGCTTTTGATTCAGTTTCAGTTGAAGTCCTTTCAGACAAAATCCACGCTTGTAGTTCTTCTCCATTAATCAATAGCTTTTTGTAAAATTTACTGTTAGAGAAATATATGAGCTTTTCTCATGGAAACTCTACAGTTTCTCGATTTAGTTACATGGGTCTCCCCCAGGTCTCATGTTTAAGCCCCTTTTGTATAATTTCTACGTCAGAGAAATTGATAATTGTCTTAGTGACAACTGCACGTTGAGACAACTTGCAGATGACGTCGTAGTGTCTATGACGGGGCCCAAAGGGATCAACCTGCAAGGGCCCTTACAGGATACCTTAGACAATTTGTCTACTTGGGCTATTCAGCTAGGTATCGAATTCTCCACGGAGAAAACTGAGTACGTCGTTTTTTTTTTCTAGGAAGCATAGCCCAGCACAAACGAAGCTTCAGCTTTTGGGTAAACCAATCACTCAATCTATGTCCTTCAAATTCTGGTCTGGTTCGATTCCAAATGCACGTGGAGATCCCATTTTGAGTATCTGAAGCGTAAATGTCAACAAATGCTCAATTTTCTCCGAACAATTACCTGAACTTGGTGGGCAGCTCATCCGCAAGATCTTCTGACGTTGTACTGGACAACGATTTTATCGGTTTTACAAAGGTCGAGTTTTTCCAGTTCGTAATTTAGCGTGGCATCACTTTTGAACTTTGAAATTCTACCACACAGATGTTTCTTAACAGATGAAGCTGGAAGTTTAGATTTCTCCCTAAAATGGAACGAAAATTATAGGTAACTCAAAAGAATGTCATTCCTCAATTTTCCTGATCATAGAGCGTTGTACTTGAAACACAATATACGAATGCAAAAATAGTATAGAACCAGATTGGTCTCAATTATGAAGTGTGGAAGTTCTCAATCTATGGAAGTAAAAAGCATGCGTTATGCGCCGGTGGTATAGTGGTAAGTGTTATTGCCTCTCACCCCAGCAAGCCTGGGTTCAATCCCAGTCGGCGCCGCCTAGATGTTCTGAAGCATAACATCTCTGATCACGCCTTCATTCTTCGGACGGGAAGTAAAGCCGTTGGTCCCCGGTTCATGGGTTGATGGGTCGATAGGTAGGTTCCAGGTGTGGCAGCTGCCTCCCTGACGTCGGTAGCATTAGTACTCAGCACGGAAAAAACAAATCAAGGAAAAGCATGCGTCAAGTTCCTGATTGGACGTAAGAGGTGTGGTTCTGAATCAAGCATTTTTAAACTTTCCTGTTGATATTAAAATGCTCCCTCGGGCGGCTTCATCCGGTTGGAGTTAATGGATCGGTTAAAATGATGCCGAAAATTTCAGCGTTTAATTAAATTTATTCTTCCGGATTGCCAGAAGCTGTTGTATCGGAGTCGTAACTATCTGCACGAAACAGACGTAAAATCCGTCTACCAAGCTCCCACATCCTCTGCCTACACAAAACCGGAGCCATTTAGCAAACAAAACGGCTTCCTTCTGAACGAAGCAATTAGTTCAAATTTATTTACTTCAGTTCCACCGGAGGCCAATTTTGTAAAGTGAACGTTACGGTTGTACTTTCCATTGTGTTGTAAACTGCGATGACAACAACGACTGCAGAGAAGCAAAAAATAGACGGGTTGCCTCCCTCCATCAGCGAACTGAAGGCTGTTGTTAGACAACTTTTAAACCCACTTGAATGAAGGTGTTGGGAAGTAGCGAAAATAGCGCACAATTATAGAGCAAGCATTTCTTACGAGTCACGCCTCAAATTTTTCCAAAGCAGGAGAAGGAATCCTCACAGATGAAAAATGTTTCCCTCCCTCAGTAGTTGTAACGGTGTGGAACATTGCTGCCGGCCAAATTACTTCTCATTCGCACACATTCTTTCGAGCTGCTGAAACACAGCCAGGCTAATCGAAGCAGCAACCATTCTCACACGTCCCAGAACGGAACGACGCCGGTCGGAAGTGGAAGGATTGTTGTCAGGAAAGTTTTTAACTGCTGTCTTTGTGAGGAAAATGAGAGTTGTTTTCATTCGTACCTAGGTGGTACAGCTTGCAAAGCGCAGTGTAGATACTACAAGTACAAGGTTACTTCCAAGACGAGGAGTGCAATTGTGCCACTATTTGTTTTTCAGTTCCATGTTCTTGGCAGAGAAAGTAGCTACCCACACCAGTCAGTGGGATGCGGACAACTGGAAGAATTTGGCTTGATGGTTCTTGTCTTTCTTCTTACTCGGGTGAGGAAGAATGTTTGGTGTACATTGTAGTGAAGAATGGTTGAGGTTATTTTGCAAATAGTTGTGCTTCATGCTTTTCGAAAACTACACAACTGCTCTGTCCCTTGAAGTTGGACCATTAGAGATGGGATGCTTGGAATCACAAAGATCAATTTCCAGAAAGTGTAACTATCTTCCTAACCAGTTCGGTAATTAAATGCTGGCAATTAATATTCATCATCTTGTAAGTCACACTGTACCTATGTTGTTTTGCCAGTAATGTTTGATACTGCAGTGCGAAGGACTGAAATATTAAATAAAATTTAATTCCTCTTATATCTACATGCATGTCGTTTATCTATGTTTTTCTTCAAGTTGTTTGGTTTTTAAAATTATTGGGTCAATAAATGTAGATGTAAACATTACACAAGTATACAGAATCCATTTACTCGTGTAGCATTTCTACGCTTTTCAATCCATAGACTTGTATCATACTCCTTCATATACGATTGAAAATTCATCCCATTCGATCCCGTTCACCGGATGTCAACAAAGTCCTTTTGTCAAACTCCTTCCGCAAACCACCAAGTCCTCCATCTTTTCGCCTTGTTTACAACATCGCTCTGCTGGGCAATAATGGTACACGGCTTTAGCGACTAGAAGAGGAACTAACTTTTCTCCAATTCTTCAACAGAGAGCACCGAGAAAATCCAACAAACAAACATTCAAATTTGCATTTTCTGCGGGAATTTTCAAGCGACTACCGCCCTTCTTGGAATCCGGAGAAGAAAAAAAAGTACCTCGACAATTCCCGAAAAGTTGAGCAAGAGTCGTAAAAAAATCTTTTCCACTTTCTGCCGGTTCGACTGGCACGAACGGGCTCCTGAGGGAGTACCTAACATGCCAGAAATCATAAATGTTGGTTGCACCGAAAATACCTTCATCCGCTGCTTTCCATGAAAACAAAAAAAGAAAACTTTCAGAAGATCACACTCCGCTTGGTCTTTCCCCGTTTCACACCGTTCCAATAGAGTCATCCTGATTTTCTACCCTCAACGACAAGTGCCTGCTGCTGCCCCCGCGTTCCGGCGTAGGTAATTCAAGATTTGACAGAGCGTGAGACCTGGACCGGTTCAATGGTGAGCGTGGCAAAAAATTGGAAAATCACTTCACACGTAATAAAAAAGTTTTCCGTTCACCGTTCGACACCTGCCGCCGGCCAGATCATTTGAATAAGACGGGATGGAAAATTTAAAAAGAGGTGGCAGAAAAAAAGCCGGAAAGTTTTACAGCTCATTAAAAAAATCTCGTTAAGGCGAAGCTTCGGTATTCGGAATTGAGGGAAATTTTCGCCAATTATCACCGCTGCTGGCTGGATGCCTTTTGGCAAAAGACTCTTTCGACACTCGGGTACCTGAATTGGGAAATTGGGAGCTGTGAATTTCGATTAGTTGTAAACTGCCAATTCATCATTTTTATTGAACTAACGACAGACGTTTTAATTCTCTTTGCAGCAAAATGTGGATTTATACCTTCATCAGCCTGGCTCTTAGCAGGATATTGGATATAACGGCCTTCTCCATCAACACAGATAATCAGGTAAATCGTTTATTTTACTCATCGCTGTCACTTTGATTAAAGCAAGGAATTAAAGGCTGGTTAAAAGTAAATTTGGACGCAAGTTTCAATTTACCACCGTGCCCCAAGTGATCGTAGCCATAATCTTTTATGGTCTAGTTACATTTGTGTAAAAGTTTTACAATGACCATAATCATAAGATACAATTTAATTAAGTGTTATAAGGGAGCTCGTAGCATGAGTAACGATGATTTTTCTGAAAAATGTAACGAGAGACAGATAACTGAGGAAGAATGTGTCAAATCTGGAGTTTTCGTACGTGATCTGAGTATGAGCATGAGCTGGTTGACCGCCGGCGGTTGCTACTCCGTTATTCACTCACCACCTGTAATTACACAGAGAACCAACAGATGATGCTTGGGACTAGCTATAATAGTGGGTGACCGTTATATGGAAAAACGAAAACTATACCTACACAACCCTTTTTTGGTTCCATTTGGAGTCCCAAAAAACCGTGCAAAATTTGGGGACGATTGGTTGTAATCCGACTTTCCACATTGTGTTTGAAGTTTATATGGAAATTAATATGGGAAAACCTACGTAATTGCATTTTTATCCCTAGATACCACAATTTTGCTTCAACCATGCAACTAACCATGACCCAGAAAGTTCTCAATAACTTTCCCAAAGGAAGTATGGTGCTATAATGTATCTAAAAAGTATAATTGTTCAAAATGGTTTGAATGAAATTCCAAAACTCACTTTCCTGCCAACACTGCCGCTGTACCAATAGAAGTCAGATTCCAAACTGAAATAACTGCGGAGTTTCTTATCTTATCGATTTGGTATGTACAGATTAACTATTCAATTTAGAGGAATTCTAGCTCCGTAAATCCCTTGGTAAAATTGTTAGGCATTTTCTGGACTATATTTGTACATTGTTCAAGCAAAATGGTCTTTAGAGATCGAAGTAGGCCGTGCATTGAAACTGACGTGTTTTGAATTTGTTGCTGCTTTATTTTCCGAGATGTTTATTGAAAATTTAGTGCAATAAGTCCTTTAGCTGGTGCATTTTGGACACCTGAAAACTTTTTCAATAATTTCGCGTGTGTTTATCAGTGCTGTATTTGGTTATTTAAAAAAAAAAATAGGATCGAAAGAGTTTTCACCGCGAGTGAATAAACTGAACAAACCGGGTTTTTCTTCCTTCGCCGCCACCGTGAAACGTTGCGAAAAAGCAGATTTCCGCTGAATTTTCTAATGTACGCTGTTGAATAGTGTCCGTTTGGGTTTAATAACAAGTGCATAACGATCCGGAAGCCGGAAGTTACAAAATATGTCCAGGATATCCGGTAACTTCCGGAAGTAGGTTAAAATCGAACGTGCAAATTTTCTCCTGCAAAGTGCTGCTGCCTGCAAGCCAAAATGGGCGCGTATCTATCGGAACCACTCACAACGAAGGATTCGAGTGAGGAGGCAATTGATTTGCTTGCTTGCGGTTCCAGCTCGATGCAAGGCTGGTGGATCAGCCAGGAGCAGTAGTTTCTAGTGAAAGAAATGATCTCCATCACATCACTAAACATAACCACGAGCAATGACGAGGAACTGCATCCCAAACCCCATGATAAACAAGTAGCGGATTCATCCAACGAAACTTTCTTCAGAATCATTACCAACATAGGAGAAAATTCGGTAAGATCCTTTCATTGTTTTATTTTATGATTCTTCAATATTGTACAAATATTTACACATTACACACAACTACACATAGTAACTCGGAGCGTTTGGTACGGTATGGCTACGCATCCTTCCACCCCTGTAGATTCAAGAAATGTTCCCAGTCATTTCCAAGAATCATCTTTGCGGCAAATACAACGCAGTAGGCCTGGCCGTATTGATGTTTATATCATATCTCAGATATTGTTGCCGCAAGTCTACCGATCTACCACAGGGATTGTGATACTGGTAACCCGGTGGCTCGAGGCGACGCGTCCAACAAAAACGTCATGCGCTGTCACCGATGATCAGCCAGGCTGAGGGACGATCGATCTGTCAAACAAAAACCCACGCGACCTCGGATGACTACGGTGTTTTAGTGGAGAAAGGGAAGATAAAATTAAGTGTTAACTTTCACGTTAATTATTGTTTGAATTAGTAAGGATTGATATAATTTACCTAAAAGTAGTGAATTTATAATACTCTATATTCTAGTATTTGTAGATCACTTTGCCGCGGATAAAATCTAAACATAACCTAAAACTGCATTGAAGCACTAAATTGTAAGTCTACGAACTAATTATCCTAAATCTACGAACTATGATCCTAATTATTCCTATTTGTAGCTTTGAAGCTGTTTGAAATACACTGCTTTCGAAAATTAGTGCGAGGGGGTTTTATTCCGGCAACAATTCTTCAAAGAATTTATCTTTAACGATGCCAAACCCCCCGGACCCTCCGCCAACGCCGAGAGAAAATGAGGTTAGTTGTGTGGCGTGCAACAAGTCTGATTTGCCGGGTAACTTCGTTCAATGTGACGCTTGTGATTCCTGGTGGCACTTTGCGTGTGCCGGCGTCGATTCATCGGTTAGTGAACGAGCATGGATGTGTACCAAGTGCGAAGCCGCCCCCAGTGTGTCGGCAAAAAGCAGTAAATCGAGTAAAAGTGGATCGACTGTCGCTCGCGATCTTGAACGACTGAAACGGCAGCAGGACATTGAACAGCAGCAGGCAAATTTGAAGTTGCAGATAAAGTTTTTGGAGCAGCAACAAAAGCTGCTCCATAAGACTAGAGCAGCTGAAGAGAACCGAAGTCAGGTTAGTCGTCATGTACATAATCGACGGGTGCGGCAATGGTTAGAAGAGTCCCGTGACGGTACGGAAGAAGGCGCGGTGGGAGGAAATCCAGCACCAGCTGCTTCGCCACTCGTTTCCGGCGTTCAACTACCACACTCCGATACCAGTGCCCAGAAGCAAACACCTGCGAAAGCGAAATCTCGCGATCGGTCGAAATCTCGCGATGAAGTGGCTGAATTACGAGCGAAGTTGGAGCTCTGCGTCCAGCGAATGGATGAAGTTTTTCGTCATCAGCCAGCGAACACGGTACCGCAAGTGCCCCCGTTGTGGGTACCTCAACCAGAAAGAACGACAGGTGATGAATGCCGTGATATGGGTGCTATTCCTAAAATGTATCCTAACCCAGAACAAACAGGTAAGCGTCAGGCCCCTTTTCACGCTCAAAATAAAAACATACCCGGTTTATTTGATATAAGTCCTCCCACAATCAACCAAAACAACCACCCACTTTATCAGTTTGTGCCATTGCTAAACACAAACTCACGCTCGAACATTAACAACCACTTTCCTGATGTGAATCGGTCTCAGTTCGACAGTCAAGCTTTCCCGTCAAGAAATCCCCCTATAGTTCCCTCCGCAAGTTCGCAATTAGGTCCAACATCGCAGCAGCTTGTAGCCCGACAGTCCTTAGCAAGAGATCTCCCTGCTTTCACCGGGGACCCAGCAGAATGGCCCATATTCATCTCCAGCTACAACTACACGACTGAAGCTTGCGGTTATACGAATGGGGAAAACATGATCCGGCTACAACGTTGTCTGAAGGGCAGTGCACTCGAGAGTGTAAGGAGTCGACTTGTGATACCTTCCACTGTCCCACAGGTCATCGAGACACTACAAATGCGCTACGGACGTCCGGAACTCCTAATCAACACTCTTCTCCAGAAAGTTCGATCGATTCCAGCCCCAAAGTCGGATCGGCTAGAGGGGTTAATCGATTATGGGACCGCGATACAGTCACTGTGCGATCACATCGAGGCAGCGAACGAACTCAGTCACCTGTCTAATCCTACACTGTTGCAGGAACTGGTAACTTACAGGTAGCTGATAATCACACTCATCGCCTAATGAGTTCGAGCGTTCTCTTCAGGATAGTTCCCGTGACTCTTTATGGGAATAGCGGTCAGGTGAATACTTTCGCCTTTCTAGATGAAGGGTCCTCATTAACGCTAGTCGAAAGGGGATTGATGAACCAGTTGGGAATATCCGGTAGTCCACAACCTCTCTGCCTGAGATGGACGGCAAACACTTCCCGTACAGAGAAATCTTCCCAGAGTGTTTCCATTTCGATCTCTGGTGAAGGTAAAGATCGGAAGTACAGAATAGTTGGTGCGCGAACGGTTGAGAGTTTGAATCTACCGACTCAAAGCTTTCATCTGGAGGATACAGCAAAGCGCTTTGATTACTTGAAGCATCTACCTTTGAAGAGCTACCAGGACGCTACTCCTAGGATTCTTATTGGGCTCGACAACCTGCGTTTGGCCCTACCACTGAAGATTAGAGAAGGAGATGGATCCGGACCAGTTGCAGCTAAAACCAGGCTTGGTTGGTGCGTCTACGGCCAGCAGCAGCAGGCGGAGCAGAGAGCATACAGTTTTCACATGTGCGACTGCACGCTAAACGAAGAACTCAACGAAACAGTGAAGCAATTTTTTGCTGTGGAAGAAGTAGGAACGACCAATCCTATTCTTTCGGTCGAGGATCAACGTGCACAGGAGCTGCTGGAACAAACGACCAGGCGAGTTGGAGACCGATACGAAACCGGACTGCTGTGGCGGAAGGATTACGTCGAGCTACCGGAAAGCTACCCTATGGCGCTGAGCCGCATGAAATGTTTGGAACGTCGTATGGAGCGAGATTCGATTTTGAAGCAGAAAGTTCAACAGCAAGTTCGGGATTACGTGACGAAGGGCTACGCGCACGTAGCGACAGACGAAGAGCTGGAGAGTGCAGATCCAAGAAGAGTGTGGTATCTTCCGTTGGGAGCAGTCACGAACCCGAGGAAACCAGAAAAGGTGCGCATCATCTGGGACGCTGCTGCAAAGGTTGATGGATCGTCGTTGAACAGTCATCTACTGAAGGGACCCGACCAATTGACTGCTCTTCCTGCCGTTCTATTCCGATTCCGGCAGTTCCACATTGCAGTCAGCGCAGACATCCAAGAGATGTTC